AAAATGAAAATTTACTAATGTAAATCCAAACCTTCAAAAAATGTTTCACTACCTTAGCACAATAAATGATATAAAAAACAAGGGCAGAAAAATGAAGAAACATAACATGGAAGTGAATTCCATGCCAACATTCTCCCTCTTGCAGCCATAGCATTAGCAAATTTATTACAATTGTTGCCTTTCTTCACATATAATTCATGATTAAACACAGATTAGCAGTACACTTCCTTTTTCGATGTGTATTTCAACTATTAAAAAGGCACAGCATATTTGAAATTGGAGAAGTAGCTACTATAAAAAATAATTTCAAGGTATCAGAAAAGCCAAAGGGCAAGTATAAGACAACATGTTAAACCCTGACTCCTATGAACAGTCATTTATAACCTATTGGCTTTTAGTGTTCACATTGAATTAAAAGATTGAAAAATGTCAAGAAATGTCAAACGTCATTTGTTGCACTGTTCCCAATCATACAACAACTGGGGATTTCCAAGAATGAAGGCACCAAGAAGCAAGTGCAGAGGACTGAATGACAAGGTTCCTTGGGTGAATTTGATATCTTTTATTAGAACAACCCAAATGGTTGGAGAATAGTTATTAAGCAAGCTTTCAGGTTCAAAAACCCTCTGTCAGGCTAAGGAAGCTTCAGCAGTCGGTGTGTGCTCTTCCTGGATGGAATGAAAAGTAAAGAAGCCAGGGGCTGGGCTGGGCTGGGCTGGGCTGGGGAGTCAGTTGCCAGGCAGATTATAATGTATCAAAAATCCAATGTCTATGTTTAGTCCCTGATCTCTAGTATCCAGGAGGCTGATGAAATGGAGCTCATAGGCTCATCTCTGGGAAGTGTTGTGTAAGTTTCCCTTGAGGATCAGGACTGAGAGACTGGAAAGTGAGTGACCCTCCCGTGAGAAATGTGCCCCCAGCGGTAATTGAGTGTTTCTGTCTTTGATGGATTTCCGGTGTGCATTCATTCTGGTGCGCAGTTGTTGTCTGGTCTCTCCTACATATCTTCCATCAGGGCATTTGGTGCATTGGATGAGGTATCTTACATTTCTGGAGGTGCAGCTGTAAGATCCTGGGATGCTGATGGCTCTGTTGTGGGGTGTAGTAATAGTGGGGGTGGTGGAGATGTGTTGGCAGGTTTTGCGTTTCTTGTCCTGGCACAGTCTGGATCCTTTTGGTGTGTTCTGGGGTTGAGGAAGTTTGCTTCTGGTGATGAGGTTGGCGAGGTTCGGTGCTTGTCTGAAGGCTAGGATGGGTGGCTCTGGGAAGATCTTTTTAAGAATAGGGTCTTTTTCTAATATGGGTTGCAATTTTTTGAGGATTTTCCGTACAGGTTCAAGGGATGGGTGATAGGTCATAACCAGCGGTGTGCGATTTGTGGGTGTTTTTCTTCTGTACTGCAGCAGTTCTTCACGTGGTATCCAGGTGGCTCATTCAAACGTGCGATCTACCTCTCTGGAGGAGTGTCCTTGTTGGGTGAAAGCCTTTTTAAGATCGGTGAGGTGGCAATCCCGGGTGTTCTCTTCAGTACAGATGCGGTGGTATCTGAAGGCTTGGCTGTATATCACAGCTTTTTTGGTGTGTTTCGGGCGATTGCTGGTTCTGTGCAGATATGTATGTTGGTCCGTGGGTTTCTTGTATCTGTGGTCTGTATTTTACCCTTCTGGATACTGATCATTGTGTCTAAAAAGGGGATGTTGGTGCTGGAGTATTCTAAAGAAAGTCGGATGGAGGGATGGTGACTGTTGAATTTCTGGTGGAACTCAATCAGAGATTGCAGGTTCTCACTCCAAATGATGAAGATGTCATCGATGTATCTTAGGTATAGTAAGGGTTTGATGGTGCAGTTCTTGAGGAAGTCTTCTTCCAGGTGGCTCATAAAAGGTTGGCATACTGTGGGGCCATTTTAGTGCCCATAGCTGTTCCCATCATCTGGAGGAAGTGTTGATTATTAAAAGTGACATTGTCCCTGAATGATGCTTTTAGGTAATTGACATTATCCTCATATTTACTGTTTCCCTCACCTCTGCATAGTTTCAGTAGAACACTTCATTGTATTCACCAAATTGGTGTATTGGTTGCCAGCCATAAGTATCAACTTTCCCATTTTAAAGGCTTTCTATTAGTAGTTGGTAAAATCCAATCAACATCCAGTGAAGGTTGGAAGAAATCCCTTACCATTTGTAATATACTATCATCCACAGTTTAGATCATAATATATACCATAATGTTAACAAAATACATACAGATATATGCAGGACAGAGATAGAGAACTCAGGTCTATCTGCTCCAAAACACAAGTTTCTGTTACTTAAGCTAAGAAAAAACTTATTTAGCTTTCAAAATTAGTAGGGCTTTTATTTTCCATTGGTCAGCCACTACATTATATCTTACCACCCTAACTCTCAATGCTTCCTACAATAGGTGCAACTCCAAAACCAGTTTCTGCCTTAATTCCTGTGACACTGCTCATTCAAAAAAAAAAAATCTGTCATCATGGCACAGCTTCAAAATAAACCTATCCAGGTTTTCAAAGGCAAGGTGAAAAGTCCAAATTCAGTAGTGGCATTTCAGCTAAACCAATGGAAACAAGAGATTTTAAATCATTAAGCATCTTGAATAGTGTTGAATCAGTGAGAGTTGGACAATGCTGTGATCATATTATCTAGTTTAGTTCATAGTACTAAGTTAAGTCCTAAGGACATGTGCAGTATATTTTGCTTATTCAAAGAAGCTGTTATAACTGCTTTGAATCTGATGGTAGTAACAGTATTACTGTTAGTAATATTTTTATACTACCAAACAAAGCATGAGTTTGGTTTATCAGCACATCCCACCCCTCCCCAGTTGAAGATCTATCAATAGCATATGACAGGACAGGATAGGACATGTATGTGGTTTCTGAGTAGTATCCAAGGTAGGATGGAAAGAGTAGAAGATAATTTTCTAAAATAAGGAATTATTATTTTTAATTGCCCACCATTCACTTTGATTTAACCTTTCCTGCCAAGAGAGTCTAAAGGTGGCTTCTATGCTTCAACAGCAAGGGCCACTAGACTTTATCTCACAAAGCCATCAAGAAAATATGACAAGTTAATAGATTTGCCCTTGGATACATCAAAAGTCAAGAAGCTAATTAATTATGTAATTCGTGGTTCACATGTAAAGCAAATCACATGAATATAGTGTGGCAGTGCATCTTTGGGTACCTGACACCTTAAGGCTGAAAGCAGGCAGCTGGCAGGTGCAAGCCAGCTCTGATGAGGCGGCCATTTTAGATTCAGGCCCACGGGGCTGAGTGGCTGCAGCTGAAGGGACAACATCTGGCTGAGCTGCTGCTCACAACACCTTGGAGGTAAGGAAGGAACTATGTGGGTGGTAGTAGGTTCCTAGAGGGTCCATCAGGGTCCTGAGCCCCAGGAAGAAGTCTAGGATATATTAAGAACAAGGCCTAGCCTAGGCATGGGGCTAACAGCTTGTGGGCCTACAAAGGCACCAGGCAAGCCCTGGAGTAGATCTGGCAGGGGTGAAGCCAGGGTTCAGGGGAGCCCAGTTGATCTAGGCCTCAGGCAACATTGTGGAAGCACTAGGCCAATCCAGATTAGGGTGAAGGCTCTATGGTTTGACCCAGGAGGGACCCCTCTGGAGTATGAGGGTCAGCAGCTGCTAAGCTGACTTTCTGATCCCTCACACTGGTCAATGCAAGAAGGCCAGGGCGAGATGGTCAAAAGGCAAATAAGCCCAATGCAAGGGGCAGGCCAAGGCCATGACAAGCTATCTGGCACCCCGACTTGCCTGGGAGTGGGGCCAGAGCCCACAAGGGCTGAAGGACCCTTCAATTGTGGGGGGGGGACATCACAGCCAAAGAGGGTAGGGGTCAGCCAGCAAGCGGGCTGCTATGAACTCTGAATAGGGTCAGAGTTAGAGCTGGGCCCAAGGAGAGTCCCAGTTCACCATCTGGGATCCCTAATGAGGGAACTAGACTAGGCAGATAGACCTGCTTGGTCCTGGGTAAGACCAAAAAGTGCACCCTGCTGGGGAAGGGTCGTCTGGTGGGGCTGGCCATGGCAGGTCAGTCCCCCAGAAATGTGAGGCCAGTTGCCAGGTAGGAGCACCTTAAAACCCCAGCCTCCACATCCTGGTGGGTGACCCAGACATAGGGACAGGTTTGGGGATCCAAGCATGACTATCAGAGACCTGAGGCCCATGCAGTATAAGGCCTAGTGTTGTTGGGAGAGGCCCGAGAAGGCGGACCTGTACAAGAGGGAGTGAGCTAGCTACACAGAAGCCTGATATGAGGTACCCTCAACTGGTCAATGCTGGGGCCAGGACCAGAAGGGTCAAAAGGGCCAGAGTGCCCACCATGATGGACACCCAGAGCCAGGGGGGCTGGGGTACCAACTAGCCTAGAGTCAAAGCCAGGGCCCATGTGGCGAAAGGTCCCAGAGAGGGGGCCACTGCTGAGAGGGAGAAGAGTGCAGGGAGCTTGGCAGCCCAGAATGAGGGCGGAGTAGACTGCCTGATTGGGAAGGGATCTAGTTGGGATCCAGATCAAAATGTTATGGTGCCCAGTGTGGGGATGGAGCCATTATCAACCTATGGATGCTATTGGCAAGGCATGGCACACAATAAGGGAAGGTCAGAGTTGTGTATACTGCCCCCTGGCAGTGGAGCATTAAAATGGGCAGCCTCCCACATATTACACCAGCACAGGAAACAGCAAAGTCATGACAGGAAAAACTGGGTGGACTGCCCCACTTAGTGGGTGGGCTGAGGTTGAGACCTGGCTCCAGGACGCCCCCCTGTCACATATAGATTAAACTGAGCTATAGAATTTTTAAAACTTGCAGAAGGATCTTCAACTATCAGATGAAAGTTCAGTGAAAAACTTTCTGCAAGCAAAATAACTCTCTGGACCAAGTAAATTCCAATTCTAGGGTTCTATATATCTATGAAAGGCATTGAAAGGTAAGCAGTTTTTCAAAAGAAGGAAAACTCACTGTGAAATGAAGTGGTTGAATCCTCTGCACCACTTGTCAGGATGTAGTAAAGTAGGAGGAGGATTTCTGAAAAATATAAACATTTTCAGTTTTTAAATGTTACACCTAAATCATAGTGTTGTTATAATTATCTCATGGATCCTCAACAAAAAAGAAACTAGTTCTATTCACAGCATGGAATATTCATAAAATCTATTTACAGTAAAAGCTTTGTTATCCAGCACCCATGGGGAATGGAGGGAGCTGGGTAACAAAATATGCCATATAACTGAGCAGCCTGAACAGGAATCTTTGCCTGTTTGGGCCACCGCCTGTCCTGCCGTGTCTGGGGTGTCACCGCCCCTCCTGCTGCATTGCCACCCCTCCTGTGGGCCCCAAGGGACAGGGAGGGGGGACCCATGCAGGCTGCTTTGCCCCAGGCCATGGAGGCTTAGCAGCGCAGGCTGCTTTCCCCTGGGCCGTGGGGGCTCCACAAAACCGGAAGTGCCACAGCAGGCATTTCTGGTTTCACTTTTCCCTTACAAGCCCTTACAAGCCAGCATGCCGGTTAACAGAGCATGCCAGCTTGTAAAGTGCCGGATAACTCAGCTTTTACTGTACTTTGATTTTCCTTTGTTGATGGTTCCCCCTCTCTCTCCATCAACTTTTTATTTTTATTTTAAGTACAGGAGGTAGAGTGAACATAAAAACTTCCCTATATTTCCTGTTCATTCAGTTCAACTCTGAAAGAATCACCTCTGGGATGGAAAGATAATCCAGTCCTCATTCCTGTTCAGACCTCTCAAGGTCTACACTCAGGAATTGATTATGACCATGATTTTCAGAAGTATGAGCACCTGAATATGAAGAACTCTGGGTAGACCATCAATAAATGTTGGTAATTTTAAGTCATAATTTCACATTGACTTAGAGATTATTATTTCTATATAAAGAGTTTGTAAGTCATTAAATATTGCATATCAATTTTATAGTGACATACTCTATCTTCTTACATTATGCAGTGAGAAGACCTATAAAAAGGTCTTAGAATCTACTTACCTCTTAGAATCTGAGAGGTAGCACATATGCTGTTGTATGTTAGTTGGCATATAACTACTTTCTTTATTGACTACCACAGTAAGTTACACAAACATTTATATATGGACTCATATATAATTCGAATTATATGAACACCGAATTCAAACCTCTCTGAACACAGAAGTTGTTTAGATCTTGATATAATAATGCCAGTCAATACCTATCACTTCTGGCATGAATTCTGATTCCCTTTGCCTGTATACTGGTACAGCTATCAATTTTACCCTTAAATCTTTTAAAGACAGATTTATATAAGAAAGAAAGGCTTTATCTTCTCAGACTTTGGTAAATTGGACTCCGGATTCACACTTCATAGATGAAGGCCCATCTCTGGTAAAATACATATATACAAACACACTTTATCTTTAACTTGCATAGCTTTCTTCAAGCAACTTATTGTGCTTTTAACTATATTCAAGTCAGCTTAAGAAAGGTCTTTTATAAATTCATAATAAATTGTATTTTGTTGCCTCTGCTGCCTTTGTGCAAGGGATCATAGGTTACTGAACTGACAGAAACAGTCATACTCTTTAGCTTAATCTAATACATAAATCCTCATGAATAGCCTGTATTGTATCATGAATCACTCATTTAATTCAGTGCCACATACCACAACAAGGCATGGTTTGGAAACATTTTGGAAAACAAAGAGCAAGCAGAATAAACATAATGTAAATTAGTGCTGATCTATTTAGCAGTCTTTGAATTTTTCACAAAAGTACATTCAAATAGTAACTCCATTTAACAATTATTATTCTCAAAAATCAAAACAAAACCATTTAAAAAAAAAAGACATCATGGCTTTGTAATAAATGGGCCATTTTTATTCAACTGTATCTATTCAAAACAAATGCAGTCATCTCATTTCATTGCAAGTTGTCATGTTTTCTGAGATGAATATGTTAGTATTTTTTTCTTTTGTTGTGGCAGACTCAGAGTGTAATTTTCTTCCTGAAGTAAAGAAATCTAGAACGTTTGAGGTGTGCATCATTTATCAAATTTACCATTAGGAGGGGAACAAAAACATGATGGGTTATTTTCAATGGCAATAATGTTTCAGTCTTCCATTAACCAGGTTCCTATCTTCGTATTCATCATAGACTCTGTGGCCATGCGTGTGAATACAAAGCACAGTAGGTGATTTCAAAAGATACACTAAGAAACAATCTTGTATCTGAGAGAGAGAGCTTTAAAATCTCTCTCTAATAAACAACGGTTAACAGTCTGGATAAAGAAAGGCCTCACTTTACTGTACTTTGCAAGTGGCCTTGAGATTCCTTCCTGTGACTAACATCAGGTATGCTTAGGGTTATTTCTCTTTAGAGTCCATAAAAGATAACTGGAACAGTGGTTTATCTGGCTATCCAGGTTCTAATAATTGCAGCCATCACAACAGCATCTGGGTATAAAGTATATTTTTTATACGTGTGGTATAAAATTTAGCACTGCATGCAGAATGTTTGCCATGAAACCACCTTAGCTTAGAATTTCAGTGCAAATCTGAAATACCAATTTGACAAAAGTTTAGATAATATTTGTGAAATATGTGGTTTTGCTAAACTTTTTTGCAGACTGTTAGATACTATTTTTAAAGCCTAACATCTGAATATGTCTGTGAAATAAATTAATAGCATTTACCATAAAGTAAACTGATGATTATGGGATAATAGGAAAAGTTATATTTGCAAAAACAACTAATTTCCTACAAATAGCACATCTACTACATTAGAAGAATCTCCTGATTCTTATTTTACTATACTAAATGATGATACAAACATGTATGAAATGATTTATGAGTTTATAAGTAAGTAGATGCCTTCTTGAGCACTGTACTCATGACCTTGAATGCACAGTAACCCTCATAGAGCTAACCAGTTTTTTATGAATGATGCAATATATAGGACAAGAACCTGCCACCTTGTATGTTTACAAGTCTGACTTTCTGAGGCAAAGGGAGTTGGTTAAAATGAATTCTTGGAGACAGTACAGTTGACACCTTTTCTAATATCACACAATGTGACAGTATATTAGTCAATGTCATTACAGACAGACAGAAAGTATTTGAAGGCAACTGCTGAGTTTTTGGCACAGGGAAAAAAAAATACAAGCATATGTAAATAGTCAAGACTATCCATCCAAAAAGAATTCAGAACCAATCATGGGCCCATGGCAATAATGAATGCCCAAGGATAAGTAAATGTGCAAGAAATTGTACTTCTTTTGTAAATACTCAACTCTTTGTAGTTTGAAACTAATAATTAATTAAAAACTGAATTGTAACCCCAAAGTTGTACACATGAACTAACTAGACTGCATCAAACACTGCTCATAGGAGATGGTGTATTATCATGTCTTAGGCCATAGCCAAATCTAGCACTTCTCTCAGTACTTTGGTCCAACAGGAATCTAACTAGAGCTATCTGTGTCTACTGTTTGTGTTGGATTACATTATATCTAACATGTAGTGTTTTATTCATTGTGTGTCCTTACATCAGCTGATGTCATTTGTAACTGACCCCAAGGCAGAAAGCAGCCCAGTTCAAATTGCTGCTTTTTATGCTGCTTTTCCATCCCTCCCCCAGAGCACTGGGATTGGAAGGGACCTCAGGGAAGGATCACAGTCACTGGCCAGCTACACAGTCATTATCAGAGCAGTCCTTCTCCCTCCCTCTCCTTGCTTTCTGTTTCCCTGCAAGAAAGCCCAGCTTCAGCTTTGAAACTCGAAACGTTTCAAAGCTTTCAAAACATTTTGACTGCCCTCATTTCATTTTGAGGCTGTTTCGAAGCCCTTTGTTTCATTTCAATTTTGAGCTCAAAATGAGTAGAAACAGTGTCAAAACAAAACAGCTGGTGAAATTTCGCACAGCCCTAATGGATAGTTGTGAGAAATAGATATGAAGTTAATTGAATGACCTGCTGTAGCTGGGCTTTTCCAAATGGTTTCTGAAAATGTCCTGCTCTGATGCAAGATGTATAATCAAACCTTTATTATTTTTCATCTTTTTCCTAGGCCTTAGTTCTTTCTATAATTTATAATTAGAACCAACACAAAGTGTTTCATTTCCTCTGACAGAATTTCTGTTGTGTTGATGGATGCTGTCCCCCAGTGTAGGCGTTCTCTGGTCTTATGTCATCCTTATTTAGTGGGAGGTTTTTTGTTTTGTTATGTTTTTTTGAGTAAAGACTTCACAACTCCATCCATTCAGACAGTACTCCATACATTTTTTTTTAAAGCAGAGCTCCTTAGAAGATATTAGACATGAAGACATTCTTCTCATTCAGAGAAGAACTGTTTCTGAATTTTGAATGATCAATAATAGGAAGTATGCGCTAGAAATGTTTCAATCTGTTGAGTTTTATGTGTTCTCTGTCATTCAGTCTGCCTCCAGAGTCACAGCTGGTAAAATCAAATGGGTCATTTTACCACAATAAGACCAACGATGTGGTTCAGTGAGCACCATTTGTCCTTTACATTAAGCTGCATGCCTAATTACAAGCTCAGTTAATAAATTTATAATAGGCAAACAGAAAATAAATGCTTTTGATTTAAAATCATTTTTGACAAATTAAAATTTTTTGAAAATCAAAATGTACATCTATTTAAAAAAATATTTTAATAAATTTAGCAGCATATTTTATAAAGACCTTCCAATGAACAGATTGTATCATCAGAGTCTGCCACATTGCTTCTAATGGGGGAATTAGCTGCTGAACATCAACACCTGTCACCATGAACAGACCCTGGCAAACACAATCAGGTATATGTACGTTGTAAATTTTCTTAGAGCACTTATGAAATGAGACAGGCAGAGACAATATTTATATCAACACTCACCCGGTTTATATTTTAGCAGGTTTCGCTGGAAACAAAATGTACATACCTATTTTCTAAAGCTAAAAGAAATGTCCATAAAGTAGTTGAAAGTTAACCATGTGTAATAAGATTCTGCTATAAAAGGTTATATTATATACATGGATCATATTAAAAT